TTATATTTTAGAGTGGATCGACATCGCAGGCATCCAAGGATATTAGCGAGGTAGTTAAAAAATTGGAAAGACATGGACCTGGTAGCGACAGACTCTCTGCTATGAAAGCTGCTTTTCGAAGTCAATATAATTCTCAGGTGAGACACATATAGTTATTTTTATAAAGTATATCTTATGAAGTTAAATTTAGAAATAGAAGTGTTTCTAAGATAATTTTGATACATTAGTTCCGAGCGTCATCAGATCACACTTGGGAACAGACGATCACTCCACCTTCCGTGATAATGCCGCCTCCACCAACTGTTCCACCACCAAAACCTGCAACCGAAGATAACCAAGCTTCCAATTCCTCGGGACCGGAACGTAAAAGAGTGCGAAAAAGTCGATGGGAATGATCAAGTTAGTGTATTATTATTTGTGCATATTATATAGCAGGTATATACGTTATATTATAACAAAACGATAATGAACTGAGAAACTTGTTTTATATTACAATAAAATTTAATTTTACCAATTCGTATGAAAGAACTATCGCTATTCCAAACTCATATTTGATATATCTAACCATCAATTCGATTGATCCGATCCCAACTTATAACTCTATCAACGACATGTTATTCTTTTGCTGCAATTTTACGGAGGTCAAACAGCGTGCAGTTCCTGTATCGATCTGTAATCGCATCTTTGAAGGCGCGCGTAAGCAATTTGCTTAGAGTGAATCACTCTATAATTATCCCATAAGGAGCCATGGCCATGATCGTGTATCTGCAGCAATCCTTTTAATTTTGTACCCCTAATTACGCCTTACAAAAATGATTGTGGCTATCCTTCCGATAATTACGCTAAAAAAACGGTGTTTATTTTTTAATCTCAATTTATTAACAATTTACACATGTATAGAAAATACGATACATTTTTATTGAAAAAAAGAGATAATCCAATCGCTATATGTATAATTTTAAAATTATCAAAGCTTTGGAACTTTTGTAAAAAAAAATTAAAGAAAATTTAAGAATATTTTGTGAATATTAAAAAAACAATGCGTAACTGAGACGATATATGTCAGAATCTTGAAGTAACTACACTCTATTTTATCTACTATGCTTTTTCTGAAAATATTCACCATCTTCATTGACATCACCCTCGTGTATGCGCGTGTGCAAGCCTGAATAAGGATAAGTGTTCCTTTAATATGGTGATTAAGCTAAAGGGTAACGCTCATCGATTATGTACTCGAGTGGGATGTTAATGACAGTCGGTAGAATCGCTGACACGTGTCTCCACATCATTAAACTACGTTGATACGCTTTGATCAGAGATGTCGGCGCGTGGTACTGCAGTAGAATTTTTAATGCGTGTAAATCGCCCAAGATCCGCATTCACGATCATCTACCAAGGTCGCAAGAGCATTATCTTTCTTTTACCTTGTTCGATTCCGCGCTACTGCACTCTGCATCTGCATCGATTCTAGTCGAATTCGCTATTCCTTCAGAAACATTAGTGAATATATTTATGATTTCAAGTTTCTTATCCAAATTATATTGCAATATTTATTTTAAATGGTCTAAAGCTTAAGATTCTTAAGGATTTATATATTGCGGCATCGCAGGGCTACTCTTTCTTCTAGTCTTTTCCATCTGTTGCATATGAATCGTTGAACTCAGCGACTTCTTCGCGGCATCTATATTTTTGCCACTAAACTTTTCCATAGCCCTAGTATAAGAGCCGGTACAGATTCGCCCCCAGACTTTCCGGTCCTCCGAGCATTGCCTGTTTCTTCCTTCGCTACATGTTCGTTGGATATCGTTCTTCTTTGTGATTTTACAAACGTCCTCCTTTTCCAGAGACGTGCTGGAGCCCGTAGCGACTTGAACGTCCTCCCATGATATATTTACGTCAGATTGCACGCTGGATGGTGTTGGGCAACTGCTATCGCTGGACAAGGAGGAGGATCGAATGAAAGATGGTGGTACTATCAGCTTCATTTGCTCCTCCGATTGATTGTCGTTCGAAAGTGATTCACTTTTTGCGCGAGAATTCGTCTTGCAACCGCCAAGACTATTATCTTGACTGTCATGGATAAGATTATCGTTTAAAATAATTTTTGCAATCGTTGTCCTTTTCCTCAGATTTTCCAGATTTTCTTTGGAGGTACTCTGGGAATTATCCACCCGTTGCAGAATATCCTTGAGATTTACATTCGCGGAATCAGTATCAAAATTCGGTTTGGTTCGTCCGATCTTAGATATTGTAAATAAAGGTCCGGGTTTTCCATTAGTCGCGGCAATAGTTTTTTTCGGTATTTTACGATTGTCGTCTTTGGCTGCGACATTTATGTCCGAATATATGTAATTAGGTAATCTCTCCTTTTGACATATCGAAACAGTAATTCTCGGTTGCATTTCTAATAGTTTCGGATATTTCTCTTCATTTCTATTCACTTTCTCGAGCGTTTCCATCTTGCCAAACATAGCACCTTTCACGCATTGCTTATATTTCTCGTCTATCGTAGTATCGAGACTATTTTGAGTATCCGTGTTGTCGACGAAGATACTCTGTTCGTTCCTCTCTTCAGATCGCAAGAGCGACCATCGATCTAAGGATAAATTTGTGTCTTCGTTCTGAATTAATGCTTGCGAAACATCAGTAATACCTTCCTCAGCACTCTCCATGGAATCTCTTTCATTTTTCGCGAGATCGTTCTTCGTGCTATCATGAGTCTCGTCCTCATTATCATCAACCTCGTTGCCAGAATCGTTATCGAGATTCTTCAAGATGCCCTCATTCTTCTCGTTGCGCTTCCTAAGTTCCTCCCAATTCTTTCGCGGCTTATAACTCGTTTTTCGCCTGATGATCTTGCTCTCAGTGATGTTGATGTCCGGGATAAAGAGACGCAATGCCTTCGTGCCGGTCGGAAATGTCATCTCGTTGATCCGTTTCTCAGACATGATTGCCCTCAGACTTGTCTTCGTGGCGACCTCTTGATGCTTGTTGAAGGCAGAGACTAATTGCGCTACCGTATACTTTGGCTCCTCGTTCTCTGATTCCGTGGAGCGGTCCTCCTTGTCGTCAGACACCGCCGAATTATTGGAACGACTGGATACATCAGAATGTTGACGTTCGCAAGGACGTTTGTCTACATTGGCGGGCATCACGTTGCGGCACAACGGCATCTCGTCTGAATCCTCTGTCAGAGTATCCGACTCGACGGACTTGAGAGAATCTAGATTCTCCTCGGATTCCGAGGTAAATTTCTTCGAAGTTTGCGGTTCTACAGTTTTCATTGATTGCGAATCATTATTCGACTCGATGTAATTCCGATCGTCACTGCTGAAATTTGATGTCTTCACTTCTGTCGACGAAATGATTGGTATACTTTGATCAATCTTTCGCTCGATTTTATCGGACATTAAATCAATATCTGATTTTACATCGACGATCGAATGATCGTCACTGATCGAGGGAATGAATCTAGAAGATACAATCTCAGCGCCGAGTTGCTTGAAAATCAGCAACATGTCCTCGGTTCTCGCATAATGGTAGCTCTTCCTTCGCCGTTTCAGACATTCCAGACTTCTGTAGATGTCCAAGACACCCTGAGACTTCGACAGGGATCTCAAGCCGTACAGTTTCTCGCGGGACTTACTAATTACGAGGTTCATCGTAGCGACGGCTCGTTCGCAGTTGATTGCTGAAGATCCATTCAATAGACATGCCTGCGACTGAACGCGATTCAGACTGCGTATCTTCGACAATATACCGCGACTCAAGCCGTGATTTAGATTAGCCTGGGATCGGCTCTGAGCTTTATTCAACAATCCTTGAGTTTGTTCTTGGTTCAGCAGACAGCTCTGGCTTGCGCAGCTCAGGCTGGTTCTGGAGGAATTCAGGCTGGCCTGAGAATCCGTCGGGCTGGCGAATCCCTCGCTACCTACCAAACTTGAGTGACTTCCGGTTAGGCGATGGCTCAGGCACATTTCGCTTTGACTGAGCGTGCAGTCTTGTAAGCCCTGTTGACGATGCTGCTGATAATTCTGATCGCTTTGGACATCTCCCTGGCAGAGACTCACCTGGCTGGTCGTCTGACTCATCAACGCGGCCCTCCTCAGGTTCTCGCGACTGACCACGCGCTCTAAAAGAACCTCCCGCGACTTTGACAGATACCTTCGTAGATGCGGCGACGCCTGTGTCGGAGCACCACGCAACCAATCATGGCGCAGGCATTGCTTCGCGGTCATCCGTGCACTTAGAAAATAAAAAAATTAACTTAGTCATCATCAATCATAAAAATAATAATTTAATAAATTGAAATATAATAAAATAGAATTATAATTATCCATATAACTTATAAACAGTAAATAGGTTGGTTACTAGACTATATAGACTATATTGAATACAATTACCCTGCAACGATATAAACTATTCCAATGTTTCGAAACATTTTAAACTTTTAAGATTCTTCAGAATTCATAATTTTTAATTATATCTGAGGGTACAAGTCGAATTTTTACATGACGAAATGGTTTAACCCTTAAAAGAAGAATTCAAACGTCTTATTATTAAACGTCGATAATAATTCGATTGATACCTTGGGTCTAGCACCAAAAGCTTCGCGACGAAGTCCTTTGCCTGCACCGAAATATCCTCAAACAGCTCTTCAGGGAAATCCACTTCTCCTAAAGATATATTTTGGAAAGTCTCCTGATCGGTCTCTCCACCGAAGGGCGAGAAACCCGTCAACAATACGTAAGTTGTGACACCAAGCGACCTGGAAAAGGGGATATTTTGGAAGAAAATCTGATCTGCATCACAAAAAGGATAACGAAACACATTGGTCTTACCACATATCGGCTGCCAACGTGATTGGCTCATAATGCAATATCTCAGGCGCTGAAAGAGAAATGTAAACATGATTGAATGTATGGAAATGTACGCACAATAATAGTAGTGTTCACCGAGTTCACGTGCCGAGATCTCTCCTCCGCACGTCTCCTCCATACTTATTTCGTGTCCAATGACCTCGCACATGACGTCACGTGGATTCGCAAGCATTTTTATGTATGAAAATCGTGGGCTGATGAGTGTAGATGAGAAGAATCGGAACAAATCGCGTTTGGGATGATGCTGTGGCGGTGATTTTACGCATCGGATTTTTGGCGTTTGTCGTCTAATTGCGAATTCAGTTAGATGCACTAGCATATTAAAGTCATTCTACATTGCAACATTGATCCGAATGTATATATAAAAGTGAAATATATCTCTGATAAACTGCCTAATACATATTTTACTAAATATATCCAGAAATGGGATAGAAAAAAATTCATTTCGTAAGTCGGGAATGAAAAAAAAAATTTTGTTAGATTCTCTGTGCTACCTGGGGAACTTTCATACAAAATCATATGTTTTATTTTCTGTAACTAAGGAAAAAAAATTTCTACATATATTCGTTTAATTTCATTATGTAAATAGATCATATCTACA